AAGTTTGCTGACGAGGACTTCTCATTCAAGCACACCGAGCCGTACCTCCTCTCCATGGCCAATTCCGGTAGATTCCGACACACACGGCTCAACGGAGACGTACGTGACTGAACCGACACACCCCGTGTCGTACATGTGTGCAGGTCGGAACACGAATGGAAGTCAGCTCTTCATCACGACGGTGTCCACTCCCTGGCTCGACGGCAAGCACGTCGTCTTCGGCAAGGTACACACATGACAACTGTGCTCACCGTCATCTGTGTCTGTCATGCAGGTACTTGACGGGGCCAATGTGGTGAAAGCGATGGAAGCCCAGGGCAGTCAGGGCGGCCGCACCGCACGGCCGGTCATCATCGCTGGCTGCGGCCAGATCGCCTAAAGGATCAGAGAGGCACGACACAGAGAGACATTAAGGCCAATGTGCGTAAAGGAATGGCAGTAGAGTTTATGTGCGGGCAGTAGAGTCTTTTGATGACGCACGAAGAGACAATAGGACACAACATATGAAGAGACATGCGACTGTTCAGTTCCTGTCTTCTGACCAAAAGCCGACAGTCTAATCGCCCTATCTAAAAGGGCCGTCTCCTTGTGTCTTCGATCTGCCTCTCCAATCGAGCAATGCTGCTTTCCAGCTCACGCAACTTCTGCTGCATCTCATTGGTCGCGGCAATCTGTCTGCCTTCATGATACTGCATTCTTGCAAGCTCCCGCTCTTGCTCGATCCTCAAGTCCCGCAGCTGTTTCCGCGAGCGCTCCAGCTTGTCTACCTCTCTCTTTTGCCATTCTTCTTCGGCGGCTCTTTGCCGGTCCATGATTTTCTCTTCCCGAATTTCTTGGGAAAGCTTGATCGTCTCAAAGCGAGTGCGATCCATCATTTTCAGGTTCTTCCTGCGTCTTCCTGCGAGCTCGCGCAATTGAGCGTCGCTGACGGAGTTCTGCAGGAATGCTGAAGGCAGAAAGAGACATAGAGACTCATATTAGAGAGCTGTAAGAATCTGTCACTGTCTGGCGCACACCTTGTGACGACAGAGACCCCGAGATGGTTCCACTCACGTCTCCATGCGCAAGGGGGGGTGCATCAGTAGGCTGCAGGCGACGGAGAGACATCGAGGCACACACGTCGATGATCCACGAAGAACTCGTGCACCTACACAATGAATGGGACTTCCAGGATCGGTCGCCGTTCGCCGCGAGGAAGACTCGTCCTCGGCTTCCGCCGCCTGCTGAGCTTGTTGTTCCCCCACCAGTTCACGCAGCTGAAGAAAGCGACCACTCAAAAAACCAGAATGTTCTGTGTTCGCTTTCCTTTCTTGTTTCTGACTGCTGACCTCTGCAGCGGTTAGCCGTCTGCCTTGCATGGTGCCAGGACTTTTCCGCGTGAAACACAACATCAACCCTAAACACAAGGATGCTCTCTTCGCTCCTTTCCTTCCCTTCCCTCTTCCTTGGTCATGAGCGACGGTCGCGAAGTCTTGTCGAAAGTCCTCATCGACGCCGACAATGACGCCATCAACCGGCGTGATGACGACGAGATCTCCACCACGTGCCCAAGCGAGTCCGAGGCCTCCCCCAGGACCACCCGATGTTCCAGCGAGGTCGAGTCCTCCCACCCATCGAGCGGCGAGTCCACCAACGACGCACTCAGGAAGCTGAAGCAAAAGCTCCGTGCCAAGACAGACAGGGACCGGCAGGCTTGGCTGAGGCTGCAACACGAAGATCTGGTGCGAGGAGAGAGAGCCATCCAACAGAAGCTGCAGCGAGAGGTGCTGGAGAGAAGCCAGCAGGACGCCAACGCACGGCGCCTGCAAGCCGAGGTGGCCCATGAGCGTGGTCACATCGTCGCGGCTGGTCAGGAAAAGGACGACATCAAGGAGCGTATGGCCGGCAGAGACCGTCAGCAGGGCGAGTTGTGCCGAGCGATGCAGCAGAAGGAGGGCACGAGGGCTTCTCTCCAGGTGGACCTGCACCGTGAGCAACAAGCCCTTGCCGAGCGTCAGCGGGCGGAGCAGGAGAGGCAGCGGCGCATTCGCGAGGAGCAGGAGAGAAGATACCGGGAGGAGCAGCGCCGCCTTTATGAGAGACACTACACGCGCTGCATCGGAGGCTGAGAGAGAGAGGGGGGGGGGGG